GCGTCATAACTCTCCTAAATGAAAACCTTATAACTCCGAGGGCAGAGTGTAAATGGTTAGAATTATTTTTTCTGGCCAGCGTTTCTTTAACGAGTTAGTTTTCTACGGGATTGCTTCGCTAACCTAATGGCCAACCCTCCGCCTTTATCCGATCTCGGGACTGGCAGTAGCCCCAGAGGTGCTCCAGGAGGAGTAATAAATATTCTTACTTTAATTTAAATGCATTAGTGTGGTATTCTCATGTTTATCGATAGATGAATAGCAATGTAAGAAACTATATAATTAAATATTTCTATGAATAACAATAATCTTTATTATGAGAATATTGTGAAGATCATTTAATGAGAAAATTCACATCAGAGACTTATTTTAGTTAAATAACGATTAGAATCCAAGAAATAGCAGACAGATATTTGAGACTCTTCTAGTCGAACCCATCCATGACTCTATTAGGAGACGAACACAGGAATTTCAGTTCTATTTAATAAGTCAAAAGATAGTTTATCTACTAGTTCAAAGGCTAAGACTTCATTTTATCCAGATCAGTCTGATTAATGTATCAGGACATAGTGTTCATATAGTCCTATTCACTTACGATATATACACATCTGACGATACAGTAAAAACACAATGTAAGTGACCGGACTGAGTAGTGAGGTGGCTAGTTTAATTTTCTGACCAAATTTTTATGTATGTCAATCATATTCCATTATTCTTCTAACTTTGATAAGCATGTGTAGGCTGAGACCTTGAATTGGTGCATAGTCGATTACCTCCAATGGATTCCCATGTTTATAATTCGGTACTTGCAATTTAACCCTCAGATGGAATATAAATACATGTACATTGATAAGTCTTCCTAATTGAGCGTTAGATTTGCTTCCTAAGCTTTTCTACTAACCACCAGACTATTTGAACACAAGAGAAAAGGCATGAAATATGCAAGAAACACTTTAATCCAAATGTTCGTGTATGTACAGAAAATCTATGGTTTTTAAAGTATTTTAAATGTCCTTGGGTTTCTGGAAAATTCTGGAATGCTACTAAACATAGTAGCAGTATAAGTAATCATCCAATCGCAAACTCAGTGTCTTGAGAACGTCTCTTGGCTTTTTTCAAGGAATTTTCTGGATCTTCCCAACACATATTATATCCCTATTATGTCTCAGCCTATCACCTTCATATTCCATCAAATATTTCCGCTTTTTCAGGATTCAGCTGAGGTAATGAAATATAGTTTCCCTCCTTAAGTCCAATACATAAACTTAATATAACAGCAGAAAACAGTTTTTCTTTTCTTTGTAAGTGAACATAGTACATCTTAACTTTGCATAGTAATTCACTGAATAATTCTGTAAGCAAATGACTTCATTCAAGTTCATAGAAGAATAAAGAAGTTTTCTATTTCATTAGTCTGTATTTTAACGACGTATTCATTATTTCATCAAAGTTAGTAACAATTTCATTGATTAACAACTAATGATGTGATCGTGAACGATATTGTGATATTAGCAGGCTAATCTATTCACTATCTTTTACAAAACGAAATAATTAATACTAATCAGTAATTCATAAACTACTGAAAACAACGTAGTAGTAGTAGTAGTAGTAGTAGTTGTAGTAGTAGTAGTATAGTGTATGGTATCTGATGTTAACAGATATAAGTAGTATGCATCATCAATTGATAGTGAAATGCCTAGTGTCAAATGGTTTAGATAGTTGAAGAGAAGAGGGTGAGACTATAATTTATGGGCGAACTTTGGGTGACGCTGAAGTGACCTTGAGAATGAACAACGCATCAATAATGATGCACAAGCTGTAATCTATCATATTCAACAATTTAATTTCAGAATATTTGGTATGTCCTACCACAATGTTCCAAATGTAACTTAAACATGTGAAATAGTAATGGAGAGGGGAATAATAAGACTGTCGTCAAAAAAAGTAAATAAACGAGTATTATCATGATGGGATTTTGTGGAGATTTTAGTAATTTCAATTGTTGAGATCATGAGTCAAATGAGCCTAGACCATCATGGAAAACCTGGAAGCACTGGACGGCCGTTTCGTCCTATTGTGGGACTCCACAACATTGCTCATCCACGATCATGCTCGCGAGATCCGAACCCAGGGCCTTAACTTCCAGGAAATTGAGTCGGCATCCAAAGGTGTTAACATCTAATCTCAACCAATCAACGCAATTGCGTGACCATCTTCCATTGTACTGAGGTAGTTACATATCTCTATGCGGCACGATTTAGCTCCACTGGTCACGGAGTGTTTATCCAGTAGACAATGAACAATTAACAAGAAAAGATTTTATTAACATTAATATCCTTATAGAATTGGTAACCTTGACGGATGTGTAGTGATAAATAATTCCTTAAAATATATACACAACAAAACCTGATGGTTGTGAGCTTGATCATTAGCGGAGTCGTATATGCATAACGATTGTTTTGTAAAAGATAGTAAATAGATTAGCCTGCTAATATCACAATATCGTTCACGATCACATCATTAGTTGTTAATCAATGAAATTGTTACTTACTTTGATGAAATAATGAATACGTCGTTAAAATACAGACTAATGAAATAGAAAACTTCTTTATTCTTCTATGAACTTGAATGAAGTCATTTGCTTACAGAATTATTCAGTGAATTGCCATGCAAAGTTAAGATGTATTATGTTCACTTACAAAGAAAAGAAAAACTGTTTTCTGCTCTTGTATTAATCAATTACAAGTTTATGTATTGGACTTAAGGAGGGAAACTATATTTCATCACCTCAGCTGAATCCTGAAAAAGCGGGAATATTTGATGGAATATGAAGGTGATAGTCTGAGACATAATAGGGATATAATATGTGTTGGGAAGATCCAGAAAATTCCTTGAAAGATGTCAAGAGGGGTTCTCTAGACACTGAGAAACACTAAGGTTCACTGGAAGTTATGCTAGAAATATCGAGAAAGTGAAAAGTCATATGTAGAGTTTGCGATTGAATGATTACTTATACTGCTACTATGTTTAGTAGCATTCCAATGAATGACAATCCGATAATTCGTGTCCTCAAAAATCAATCTCCTCCATGATGTATTACACATAGTTATCTTTGTGTTTCATCAAACAGAAGTACACATTTTGGTATTTGTTTTGAATAAACGAAATCTACACAGATTGAATACTGTGATATTTTGCTATTCACTCATTTAATAGATTGATTTAATCAAGCAAATGTTGAATAGTAGTTCGATTGTTGTATCATTCAAAAGACATTGATGTTATGCAGCTAATGTGATTTAGCTTCTGTAAGTTTCCTTTCCTTAACAGTTCTGAATTGAAATTAATCTGGTTGTAACTGCCTTCAGACCTCAGTATTGTAGATATTCACGAATTGATCTGGAAGATTTCTTAGAAGATCTATAGCGGCATGTATGATCAGGGTGCTATCAAAAATGACGATTCGATCTACCACGAAGTAGCAAATATTTATTTATAAAGTGAAGATGAACATGATGTCCGAGATCATCCCCATCATCATCATCATCATCGTCATCATCAACTTGAAATATAAATTAAACATTCATTATGTTGATTATTATAAAGCTCTCCTTCCAGTTAATTGATTGCAATTCACTTGATAAGATGATATTCAACATTACAAACTGTGATCAAATATTGAGATTATAGAGAGAAGATCAGTTACTCAGAAGGTTGATGTTGATGATGTTGTATCATTTGAACTGACTTATTGATTAGTTGCTCTAAAAAGATGGTCTCTTCCATGTTCTATGTGCCGAGTGCTTGGCTTCTCTACTGGAGAACAGGCCCTTCAACTCCACCACAGTGACCAGACATCATCAACATTATTCATTATTCATCTGTGTCGCTCAGTATAATCATTTCGTTCTTACTGCAGTTTTCCACATTGCTACTTCAAACAATAATACTTTCATATATTTTCCGGTCGAACCATTCCATCACCAAATATCTATACATATACTTATAATATAACATTCCCAATCAAGTAATTTTAAAGTTAATTTGAGAAAATCCAGACCTGACATGGTCAGTAAAGATAGCCTGAATAAAAAGCACGATTTATATGGGGACATAACAGTAGATAGTCTACGGGTACTCAACAAAACTGAAGTCATGTTGATCAACTGCTGGAAACCGAACTAATATATCCAAAAGAGGTATATCCAGCCTCCATGTCTACCGTGGTCCACGACTGAATCACCAGACACCTCAAATGCATGTTATAAACCTATTATCCCAATTCGTTTTGTGATTATCTCCTTCCTAATCCACATTGTTTCGTTTTCATTGTAATTACCTTGACTATACTCTTTTTATTACATATTATATTCACACAACGTTGTTATTATTATCACCATTATTATTAGTATTATTATATTGACAAAAACCTAGAAACTACTACTACTATATGTGTCAGATGTTGCTGAAATAAGAAGATGAAACATATCACCATTCACAGTATAACTGAAATCCATGTATTGCATGTTGTGCAGAAATAGATTAGATTCGAGAAATCTGCTTTTATATTTTGGTCCTAAGTGAAAAGTAAACAATCAGTTCAGATCTATCATTACTGATCCTTGAATATATTTGCGTGTACACTACCGGAGTGTTTGCATTCATTGATATGCGCATTATTTATTATCTTAGTAAATGTGTGATCATTATCAATTCGGAATTCTATGTAATAATAATCGTTATACTCTTTATTACAGAACATGAACTCGGTTCCAACACAGGACAATTTAGTTAGTACTGAGTGAAATGTTCTCTTCATCCTTGAAATGTTTAGTAAACCTGTAAATATGAAGCATATCCAGTTTCAGTTCAGATTATTACAGAATTGTCGTCTTATGAGAAATTGATAATGATTAAATAAGTAAAGCTCACTATTCTAATAAACAGTATTTTCATGTATAAGATTGAATGAACTAACAGTCAAATGAATTCTTATCCAGCCTAAGTGAATACGCTGCTAAATTACCTAAAACTACTACTACTACTACTACTACTACTACTACCACTACTACTACTACTACTACTACTACTACTACTACTACTACTACTACTACTACTACTACTACTACTACTAATACTACTACTACTACTACTACTACTACTACTACTACTACTACTACTACTACTCCTACTACTACTACTACTACTACTACTACTACTACTACTACTACTACTACTACTACTACTACTACTACTACTACTACTACTACTACTACTACTACTACTACTACTACTACTACTACTACTACTACTACTACTACTACTACTACTACTAACTACATCAACAACAACAACAACAATGTTAACGATTCATGACAATAACATAACAGTCTACATCTTAGTGGTGCAAAATTACAATTCACTGTCATAGTATCAAGAATTACTATTTTACAAATGTAATCAAAACATAAATAGTCTTGGCTTTTCCCAATGAAGTGATCATTGATTTACGAAAATATGGACTGTTATTCATTCCACTGATTGAAATCATGGGTGAATTGAAGCTAGACCACCATGGAAAACCTGGAAGCACTGGATAGCCTTTTCGTCCTAGTATGGGACTCTTCAACAGTGCGCATTTACGATCTCGCCGCCCGCGTGATTCGAACCTAGGACCTATCGGTCTCACGCTCACAAAACCCCATCTGATAATAATCATTTGCTCACCAGTGACTGACTTCAAGAGACACTCCTGCATTTCTAATGAGAAACCGTTACCAGTGAAGTTCAACCAGGTCTGTTGTCAGATATCAACTCACTGAAGACGACGGTGACGGTGGTGCAACTTCGTGGAGTTAGACAATAACACCGTTGGATGCCAGCCGTTTCAATGGCCTAACAGTTAAGCGTTCGCGCATGAGATCGATTGGTCCTAGGTTCGAATGACGCGGGAGGGCCAGATCGTAGATGCACACTGATGAGGAGTGCCACACTAGGACAAAACGTCCAGGTTTTCTATGATCGTTTAACTTTAATTGACACATGATTCCAGCCAGTGAAAGAATTCATTTCATTGAAATAAAATTCAAATATAAAAATGTGAATTTAGTCATCTAATGAAAACAATGTGTGCTACTTTGATTTTGACCAATCAAATCAAAACTATGCACCGTTGACAACGTACTCACAGTTGATTACAAGTAACACACAATGTTTGTTCATGAAAATATGAGCACTAATTACTGAGTTTAGTATATTGTCAATCCTATCCAAAATAGTTTTCATCAATAGGGGAGTCAGGAATTTCAAACAACTGTGGATCAATATCAGGCTATATTACCTCAGCAAGTGTAAGAATATTGCTTAACAATGAGTTCATCTCCTATGACGATTGGTTAATGATTATGAAATGATTTTATGAATATTGATCATCTTAATGGTCAATTTGAATCATCCAATCTGAAAGAAACATGCAAACACTTGACAAAATTCTATATAATCTCAACACGTTCTACCAACGTCTAAAACAAGAAAATGATGTGAGTATTGACTGTTTAATTAAGACCATTTAGTGTATTATATCAATTTCAATTTGATCTAATGAGATAACATTGTTTTATTCATCTGAACCATTTCAGATATGCATTTTGGTTTGGTCAGTTGGTAGCGATCTATTCGATCGTTGTATTTGCATCGGAATTTTTCAGCTGTCATGAATTTTGTGGAAAATCTGATTTACTTAATATTGGAAAAGTAATTTTCCAAACTGAGACATATAACTATGTAAGTCATCAATCAGGTTCCAATACAAATATTCAGTCTCATTATTATGAATATTCCCAGTTAATTCGCTTTAACCAGCCCTCTTCAAAGGTTAGTGGAACGTTTGAGAAACCGGTTACTGGGAAGGTGAGTGTACTACACTTTGCAACGGAGATGCTAATCCATATGTTTGCATATTTCTAGAAAATAGATTTGAAATTCCCCATTACATTATATGGTTTCAATATGAGCAGTCTCTATATAAATCATGATGGTAAGAGAATTATTTTCCTCGAATTAAAATTTTCACTGAGTTTTGTTTATTCACATTTCAATTCCATGAATCAAAGTCGATTTCATTACTTCAATAGATCAGTTTTAGGCATTTTTTAACATTGAAAACATCTACTGATGTCTTTCCTTGTTCAAGTTGTAAATCGTTTGATGTGTTGCAGCAAACTAATTACAGTTCATGCAATTCATTCTAGTCTCCAGTTAATTTCAAAGTCTTTCATTCATTCACTGTTGATTATCAATCTAATTTCATGTTTTCATTTGATAAACACAGGTGGAATTAATTTAGAAGGAGAAGGGGGCATAGGAGATAGTATCAATTATATCTCAGGCAATGATCAGTGTGAAACTGAGATTTTGGATGGAAGTGAGTTCTTCTGTTATTCAATGAGATTTTGTTTTATGTTTTTCATTCCTCATTTTTATTTTGCATAAATGATTCGGCATTTAACTTGATTAATTCGTCAGAGCTGATCAGTACACAGTGATTATTTTATTTGTGTGATTTCATGCCCTAAAATGTGTTCACAACACGTATTCATTACTGTGAAGTGAAAATGTTAAATAAAACCGTGATCCAATTCAAAACAGACACAAATTGATTGAGTAGAAATAATGAATCAAACGATGTAAACGCCCAGGTGGAAATTATCTACTCTTCAATCTGTTCGAACGACCATAAAACTGATATTTCTTCAATACGACACTTCATGATAGATTGAACGAATCAAGCTGATCACAGGTGCAATAATAAGCGATGTTGTGTGAGAAATCAGTTTGGATAATGGAAGCACATTAACTATCAATTTATATTTGATGTCCTCCAACTCTTCCTGTCACTTACTTGGTTCTTAAAAGTTCAGTCCCTCTTATTCAATGTCGTTGAACTACTGGATATTAAACAAATTCTTGATTATCATAATCGTTTGATCATGAAGTTTGACCACATGCATCACCTCAAACATCGAATCAACTAACAATCACGAATAATAGGCCGCTACAACATGATTGATTCGAATTAGAACACCTAGAATATCAAAATGAAGGGCATCCATTTTATTTAATTACTGAAATTAATGTCATTGGGATAACATTTCCGGGCAATAATTAGTTCAGTTAAGAGAATACTGTTCAATTGAAATAACAGAATTTCACAAAATGATTGTGTATGTTTATTGTCGAATAGATATTAACGGTTTGTTAGTTGGATAAAATCTTACTAACCCAACATTTCAGAAGTATGATATTTCTCTCAGTTGATTGGATTGAAACGTTCATCATATCGATGAAATAATAATGCGGATCATTGAGACTCGTATTTACTTGAATTGGTTCACTTAAATCTTGAATGGAACATCATAACTTGTGTTCGCACACATTTTGTTTATTGAAAGAGGTAAATATTGATCATACAGATACATGAACACAAATTTATTTTGCTTTCATTATTTCAGAGGAATATTTAGCTGTCAGAAGGTCTTGTCATACAAACATTGATAATAAAAGTATGTATCCATATCCATGATTGTTTGTTCACATGTGAACTATTAACACTTTACATCATTATTGATTGTTATTACTCAAATGTTTTCTATTCAGTTTGAGTAATTGAATTCTTCTTGAAAAACTAACAGAAGTATTAAAGTGTAACCATTCTACAAAATCAGAGTCTAAATACACTGATTGTTGATACATATTTGACTGAAACTAAAAGAATAATTGACATACGTTTGGATACATTAGGTCATAATCACATTTTCATTTGTAGATAAACGAATAAAGAGATTCATCTTCATTGACAGGTTTCAAAGGATCATGATGAGAAGTCTGTGTATAAAAAAGATTGTACATATGTGTTCATCGGAAAATCATTTCTGTATACATCTCATTCATCTAAATATTCACTGATTACACGGTCATTCTTAGCTTCTATTCTTTCAAATTATGACGTCGTTAAAACGATATGTACTAAAAGCGTATTCACTTGTCATCTTTAACAAATAATGTGGTCAAAGTCATTTGATCGACTGATATATGTGTTACATAACTAAATAAATTCTAAAACTCGGATTATAAACAAAAAGACAGCAGCTCATTTCATTTGCTCCTAGAGTCGATTGTATCAGCTGAATTATAGAAAATATTCCACCCATTCGAATAGCACTCCAACTATCGGATCTAATTAGAAACTAGATGAATTATTGTTTGAATATGAGAACTAAGCAAACTAAGCATCTGACATTCATTATGAAGGATACATGCCTATTTCATTTACACAACATTCACGAGATTATTTTCATTACGAATTCGACTACAGGAAACATTTGAGATAACACAGTAAATATCGGCTAAAATCTGATCCCCATCTGTGTAGGCACATACAGTTTCACATCTAGCGATGACACGCTCGACACTAATCCTTGAATTGCTAAATATCGGTAGTTTTCTTTTTTGCAGATGATACAATCAAGGTAATGAACCTGATACACTCGAATGGGAAGATATATTTCTATTATGAGAACGTAAGTCGAGCAAATGAATGGATTATTCTATTATTTCATGCATATCAGTACTGTCAAACACATTGAAATATATTGAAAGGGATAAAAGGACACCAACATTTTGTATTGTGCATACAGACTTTATGAAACTATTCATAATCCGTTAATGACACACTTTATTCTAGCACTTTTTAAAATAATGAACAACAAAGAAGTGATGTAATATGTAAACAAATTCTGATACCTTCGAGCCAATTAAGGACAAAGAGTGTGTGTCAGAGTTCTGTACGTGAACGGTCATTTTCAGCTTTCTACATACCAGTTGTTGGGAAAGTTCATAATTGAATATTTTGAGAGAGATGTTGTTAAAATCTAGATCGCTTCTCAGATTGTATTTGTTCGAATGTCACTATATAGAACTTGGTCGATTTGGAATACAATAAATGTTGGATGACTAGAAATGGCTGGTGAGATGATAAATTTTATGAGCGTTGAACCCAACTCATCTTGTTTGTTTTGAGGTAATCAGAACAAATTGTGGAATGTATTCTGTTGAGAAATGAACGCAATTGATATGAGTAAGCACATAAACACAATTCCACAACAGGACAACAAATTCACGTTCAGCGACATTGCAGTTATTCACAATCACACTTCTACCGACGGATGTAGATGTTCATCTTACTACGTATGGCCTCATTCCATGAAAAATAAATCGTTCATCTAACTTCACTGAAGCTGTTAACTTAGGCGAGTCACAATGACTTTGTAAATTAGATGGAGTATATCTCTTAGTGACCCGAGGAAATCTGTATGCTTACTGTAACTGTGATTAGTTGTCTTTGAATAAGATAATGTGAATGACGACACATTACTTCAATCTTTGGTTGGTTTTGATATAGGTGGTAGCATATTGACAGATCTTGACACAGACTTCCGTTACTTCTTTTCAGATTCCTACAGGACTTAAGAAAGGCGATGTTGAATCGAGCTTTATTTATTATTTCAAATGTGGGCAAGGTAACAAATGTTATTTACATTCCAATTTACATTGACTTACATGAGTAGTAATCTGTCAGCATGATGTTACCTTCTGTTTGTACACGATCATCACTATGTCAACGTGCAGATTTTCTGTAGTTCATAATGAAGACCGAATTTGTGTTTCTTACAGTCCACAATATTCAGTTGTTTTTGTTTGTAGAATAAATTGATGGGAGTGTTGTTGAAGTGCTGAGGAAAATTGTGTGAAATAGAATCTGAATAATTTAGGCAAACTCACTGTCCTAATGTTACTGTGTATTGAAAATTCAACGTCAATTTGGTGTTTAGAAATCTTGAAGCAACATTCAATTGTCACATGTATTGAAAATTCATAATGGAATCTCATCCTGAAAATATTTTGTCTTTCGAATTGATACCAATGTATCTGCATGCTCAATTCAACAACCGTCATCCTCGCTGATATCGCAAAGCAGATTTGAGTTGTTGTGATTAAATCGGAATCGTATTGTCTTATCATTTTGTGCTAAGCTCCATCAAAAAGAATTTCAAGATCCACGTCAGCTGACGCTTGCTTATTTGGCATACCAAGTAATATGACTAAGATGTGTGAATATCTTCATCATGAATTTGTGGATAGATATTTGGAGAAGTCTTCTGTATAGCGTCAACGATTCAGACAGGAATATATGGACGAGGATACTAGACAGACGATATATCTACTCATTTATTCACTAACCCACTAATAGACAGTCAAACTTGCAGCCTCTCAATATTGACTATTTGTGAAACAATTTGTAACGAGATAAACATATTTTTTGTGTAGATGTTGCACTGACACCTTAGTAAAACAAACTAGCAATTTTATCAATATCATTGTTCAATTAGTGATTGAACATTGGTCACTTTCAGAACCTTAAGCGATGTACAGCATATTTCATAAGGATGTTATTTGACCACCATTGTAACTGTAATCAGATATTAAACAGTTGCTTATTTTGATTGCCTCTTAAACGAACAAACAACATGTTATATCCAAAATAGAAATCAGAATTTTAACTGTCTTCTTCTGTACAATTAATCATATTAGAGTTGCAAGGGCCTAGAATAGATGTTCCTGATGACTGGATCAAAAGTGGAATGCTAGTGGAATATGAAGTTCTCGGTGGTATGTCAAACCTTATTTTATCAGAGTTGACTATTTTCATACTTGAATCAATCAACTTTGTTTTATAAAATTGGAAATTTCATGTATGATTTCAGACAGTTATTGAACGATATCAAGTCATCAGTCACAACTGACGTTACACCAAACAACGACTCACTGTTGAATGTAGCCACGTAGTTTGAATCTTTTTATCATTGCAGGTTGTCAGAAATCTCCTCAAAGAAATTCTTTTCTTGTGTTGTTCGATTGAATTAACATAATGGAAAATAAAGTTTCCCTTTGAGTACAACTGACGTTCGTGCATCGGCTTCTAAATAGTCAGTTAGAGTGAAACAACAATGTCATACTTCATTTTGCTTATGGAAAGATGGTATACACGAGATATTTTTGAATCATAAAGCATGAACAAGATTCGTTATCCGTCTAGAGTGTACATTCCTTTTCTAATATTAACAATCATTGACATCCGTGACGTTCGCCTGACAAATTTCATTGTTCAACTTACAACGTAATTTTATTCAATTCGAACATGTTTTCGGGAAATGTGAATGACTTTGAATGTGTATTGAATTTCGGATTGAGCAATGTGATGACAAATGCCCAGAGAATCAAATACTCATTTAACTCCTAAATCGCCATCATTTGGTTACAGTTACATGTTTTGTAATTCATTTATCTTTTGTTTGATAACTTGAACTGTAATCACCTTCTTCTTTTCACTGAAGATTGTCCAAATCACAACTCGAGTGAAGCATGTCAAGGCGAAGCAACATCGAATACAAAGTGTATTTGGTGTGAAATAGCCAATATATGCATCACTAGCAATGGTAAGGATGATCGTGAATTCAAAGTAAATGGTTGCCAGAATAAAGTAAGCAATTGGTAGACTTCGAAGATTGTTCTTAGTATAACGATATTCCAAATTGAAATGTTGTTTTTGTTGGGTGAACATTTGCATTGTTAAGAATAAGTAGTGATTTCTATTGTACCGTTAGTGCATAAATCAAAGTTACTTATACGATATTTAAGCACATATGAATGCAATGCTCTATTTCCATGTGGATATTCAACAATGAATAGAAGAGTTGTTTAACATCAATGCCTGGAAAGATGTTAAATCATTTAGCTCATAGAATGTGTAGTGATTCCCGATGTTCTATTTGAAACCGTATATCTACGTGAAATGTTGAAGAATACAGATGAAATCAGTTTGAATGATGAAGCGTAATCTGTTGAAAATTGTGCAGCATGTTCCGATAATAAGCGAAAGTTCGTAGTCCCATTGTTGAAGTACAGAACAAGTATTTCTGATTCCTTGTTGAGAAATATGTACCGTGAATGCATTGCTTCAATAAAGCCGTCAGTCATAAGTTTGTTGAATAGTGTATAGATTGTGATAAGATGTGACATCCAGGAAACAAATTTCACCACCCAAACAAAAGTCGTCAGTTAGTTGTTGGATAGTGTGTACTTATCACATTGACTGTTAAATCAGTATCAGATAACCTAAATCATTATTCATTGATCATATTGTGCAAATGGAAATTATGTAACTAAATGTTGAATTCACTTGTGTCATCCATACTGACAATGGTGTATAATGCATGATGAAATATTTGATGTTTAATTATATTTTCACTGTTTCTTTCTTCTGAAGAGTTCGATTGTCAAGGTTTCCACTGGACCAACAACTGAAACTGATCTAATAAATGAATTGAAGAAGACTAGTGGAAGCACTGAATCACATTTGGTAAATATTTGATATTTTGTCATCTTTATACTATTTCGTTCATTTCAGAACATGACCACAGATACAACTGAAGGCATTGAGAAAAGAAAATCACTGCAATACGTGTACATCGTGGTACCATTAGTTATAACTTTCCTTATTGTATGCATTGGCATTGGCATTTGGCTATGGTTCTACAGAAGGAACAGAGTTTATCCATAGTCTCAACAAACAGCTTCTCAATTGTTTTCATTAATTTGACTTTGTTCTTTTTATTTTGTAGTTTAGTAAACACACTTTCTATTTTGTTAATTATTTCAATACATTGAAGATTGTTTCATGAAACCGCATATCACATTGATGCCTGTTTACGTAATGACTGTTGTCACTTTGTTGGTACAATATAAAAATATAATTTTCTGTATTTATGTCATTGTTTTCATTCAATAAAAAAAACATAGGTAATTTCACAAGAGGTTACAACATTGCACTTGTCAATTATCAGTATCGTGTATACGTGATTATGTGACCATTGAAATCAGAAATGAGTCCGTTGTAAATTTCCATCTTGTTAAAGTCTCAATACTGAGAAATATCAATCGAGACTGACGTCGTTCATTGTTTTAAAGTAAACTGTGGGAATGAGGCATCAATATTTACCAAGACACCTCAATCCTTCGTTATTTGACTATTCACTGTTGAGTGAAAGCTGGTTGACAGACTGTTGTTAATTAGGTGTTATGAATGTTTTAAATATGCAATAATTTTAGAGGGTCTAGCTGATGCTCAAGTAGGAATGAAAAAAGATGTAGAGCGAATGATGAACTAGTAACAGTTCTGCCGTTGCCTTGGTACTAAGATGAGAGATTTGAAAGAAACACACTGAAGTGTTTGCGTCAATGTTTGATCACATTATTAAACAAAACTTGGCTAATAATCGGTCTCATTCTCATGGATTTACGGGAAACTAGTCTACAAAAAATCATTTGCATTAGGTGTTCGAATGTTCTCGTTAGTGTTTAGGACTGAAAAGTGTTCAGTCTTTTCATGTCATATGTGAATCATGTGCGAGTTGCTACGATATTGCCATAGGGTCACAAAAAATAAAATCAGAGTTTGTTAGTAGCCAGCAATGAAATCCATGACACGCGTCACTCGTTAGCTAGCTGAATCTGCATCACATAATTGATATGTCACTGCTTTACTCATACTCAATCATCGTCGCGTCATCCCCTAAGCTACTCAGTATGAATAACCACTAGCTCCTACAAACAACTTCAGTGTAATATATAGTAAGATGAACACAGACATGATAAATATTTGTCCTGTGTCAGTCTGCACTCCCAAATACCATTTCTTCCGTGTGATACTGAATGCTTGAATTGTGAAAAAAATTGACAGATTATGATGTTATGTTAAACTACTGTTCATTTCGTTAATAATGATTCCAAACCCCGTTATTAAATCTTAATAAGACTGCAGCTTTTGATGATAATAATCCACATCTAATCATGTTCTTTATGGTTCTATTTCCATACAAAAGGGCGGTTATATACCTCTTTTGGTTCGTTCTATAATTCGTTTGTTGACAAACGCAGTAAACAGTTTCGTTAGTTTACACAAGGATTTGACTTTACAAAGTCACAAAGTGAACCTGCCTTCAATAGCTTTCAAAGGAGATTCCGATGCTTTGATTGAACATTTCGTGACCGATTACGCTAAGTGCTGTGAATGGATAATATTTCATTGCTCAACGTTGAATTCCCACTTGTTGAAGCTAACGCACACCACAGGTGATGCTGCAGATATTTCTAGTCAAGCTTATTGTTTTAAAGTGTGCAGTGAAGCTAATTTGATGTTCTTCCTTCTTCGGATTCTTCTGGATATACTTTTATCAGATTTGACAACAACTATCACTCTTCGTGGTCTATTCAAATATAATTACCTTCCATTTGGTTTAAGTTGTTCTCCAGTCATATTTCATGAAGTGGTTCATAATGTAGTCATAGATCTTAAAAGTGTTGACGATTGTCCAGATGATTTCAATCTTTATGCTTTTCATAAAATATCTCACGGTCAGTGACATACTACTTTCTTCGTAGCCTGCTTGAGAAAAAGTTG